ACAATCCTGGTGTCGCCGTGACGCCATGCAGAGTGTGTGTAAAGGAATTAAACTGTCTGCCTGCAGTACAAAATAGCTTTGATGTTCAGCTCAAGAAAGGCATCCAGGCAGTAAGAGGTTTTTTCAGTCAAGAGGAAAGAAGGGAAATTATCTCCAGTGTCTGTCACGTGAATCGTGTCATCTACGATGTCACGCGAACGATTGGTGAAGACGCAAACTTTTTGATCTGGCCTCCTATTGATACTGGAGAAAACAAAATCAATCCATTGTATGACGCAAGAGTATGTAAAGTACTACTTAAACAAAGTATGGAGCATTGTTGTGTTAAACCATGGTTATTTGGTCAGAAGGGCGAAGAGGAGCACAAGCTGAAGTGGCCGAGGGGCATCGCTACAAACTCCGGCGGAGAAGTCATTGTCGGGCAACACGAGGATGGTTGTGTGAAGGTGTTTGACAGCAGCGGCAAGTTTGTTAAACATTTCAGTCTCCCTAACGAAAATACAGAGTTATATATATACGATGTCGCCACAGACACGAACGACAACATCTTTGTGCTGACCGATATAAACGATGTCGCCACAGTCACGAACGACAACATCTTTGTGCTGACCGGTCATATGGAGCCACGGGCTATGAGATCTTGGTGGATTTATAAACTTACGAAAACCGGTGACCCGTATCACAGGTTTCGTTTGAGGAGAGAGGGCTGGAACGAGTACACAGGACTGTCAGTGAGTGACACGGGAAAAGTACTGACAGGAGGAATGGAGGTGGAGGAGTATGACAGTAATGGAGAGTTTGTTCGCAGTTTTGGCGAAGGAATATTGAAGTTGCCGTTGGATGTCACTGTCGCTACTGATGGCCGTGTTATGGTAGTGGGCAGACGTGATTCCTGTGTTCACATATTCAGTGAACACGGTGACCATCTTAACAAATTTAAACTGCAAAGAAATGACTGTGACTACACGAGGATTACATTTCACCGAACAGGTGAACATGTCGTCATCGCTGGTGATAGAGAAGAGAAAGAACTCCTGCAGGTTGAGATATACAGCAAAGATGGCGAGTTTGTGCGTAGTGTAGAAATCCAAATTGATGGGATATATTACGTAACAGGGATTACAGTGACTACTGAGGGACGCATTGCTGTTGTTGCACGTACTAATGTAAGTCACAAGGTATTTGTTTTTTAAACTGCTGTTTTTGATGTTTTTCTGTTGTTGAGAATGTGTAGGGACTTTTAGGGTAAGCATCACAACTCCCCATCATGGCTCTTATTCGCTGCTTATTCTCTTAGCTACAATCAGCGTCAAGATTAGTTTACTCATGATGTTTGAGAAGAGTTATGTGAAGAAAAACAGTCCTGTTTCTACCACTCTCTAAATTATTAACAGACCCCTCCCCCATTCAATGTTTGCTAAAAGTTCATGGAAACACGGTACA